GGGGTGGGGGGGTGCCATGGGGTAATCACAGGGGGGAGGTACAGGGGGTGAGGTGGAGCGGGGTACTTGGGCTGCTGCAGGTTTCTGGAGCCCCCCTCGAGGGGTTTGCTGCTTGTGTGGGCTGGCAGCACTGGGGCGGCCGACACAACGGCAAGCGCTCTCAGCTCTGCTCTTTCGGGAGGTTTGGTGTTGCTGGTGGAGGGGTGAAGGGCATCCCCTCAAGCTTTTGATCTGGTGCTGTAAGTAACAGCCTAGGGGAGAAGTAAGGTAAAGTTTCCAGCTTCTTGGAAACACTCCGTTTCTGGGCTCTTGTCTGATGTCTGCAAAAACAAGACCCAAGAGGACTGCAGATAACAGTAGGAGGGTGTCGTCTGTGTTTCTCAGTCAATAAGTGTCACAAATGAGCCTTATCTAAGCTCCTGAATGTTTCGTATGAAGTAGGTAATCACAGGCACCGCGCAAGCGTGCTCCTGGCTACAACATTATGTACCCTGAATGTTCTGAACCAACTTGAAAAATCTCAGTTGTTCTGAATCAAACCTGACTCAGATAATAGAATTCTGAAAAAGTACTCTCAATTGAATCCAGGTTTCAGTCTGGCCTCGAAACTCTGGGTCAAAGCTGTTGTAATCAGCGTGGTGTCTAATGCGTACAAGCAAGGGTTGTGTTCAGCAGCAAGCTCTGTGGAGATGATTTCCCCTTTGAAATGGAGCTTTCTAGCTCCAGGGATCTGCACACGTCGGGTCTGTGGAAAACTAAGGCTAGTATGATACAGTGGATGTTTCACAAGGACTTTCTACTTTCAGACACTTGCACAGCACAAGTATTTTCTGCCTTTCCTTATAACAGAACCTGCCCTATCTAAGAGAAACCCAGAGTTTCCCTATGACAGTCTAAAATGTTAGCTTGGATACACAGATGGAACTCAGCTGACACACCTCTGAGGTGAAGGCTCCTTGATTCAATTGTAGTGTCTTGTCTTTAACCAAAAGCTGTTTTCTGCAGAGCCTGAGGGAGGAATAGCAAATGGCATGAGACTGTGGGTACGGTATGATTATTTTTTGTGTGCTCATAAGTTCATACTGTAGGAATCTGCTCTTGCTAAATCTCTGATTTATTCTAGATTTAGATGTCTCAATGGATACGTGGAACAACTTCTATGCTTGCCTGGTGTCCTTATGGCTGCACAGATTTTACATCTATTCTGCTGTTGCTTTTGGGATAAGCATTTGGATCGTCATTCAGTTCACCACCACCAAAACCAAAAAGAAGGTAACTGAACACGTAAGCGCTTTTGTCTGAGAAGACCCCAAAAATCTGTGTGTGGAAGTGAGTAGTTGCCAGGTAAAGGCGTACCCACTGGTGCAGTGAAATGTGCTACTTCACTGTGGGCCCACCTAGGTTGTTGCAAATCCCCAGTGTAGTTTAGTTCATCTGATGGTTATGATCCTCAGTCTAGATTGTCTTATGTTTGTGGGTAACTAAACGCCCTCGTTGCTCTGATGTCAGAGCAGATCTCAGCTGAACGCTTCTCACTTCGTAGCTGAGAGAATGTGTCAGCCTGGGTTGCTCTGTCACTTCGAGTAAATCACTCTGCTTGTGCCCAGTGTTTTCCTGTTTCCAGTGATGCTAATGACAAGGTTGGACTGGTTTTAGGATGGGAGTGGGATTAGGCCATTCGGGAATTTAAAACCTCCTCGTGCGGGTGAGTGAAGTTCTGCTGCACGAGTTGGGAGGTTCTCGGGTTCACCTGGATCCTGTTACCTGTGTGAGACGAGTGTATTGTAGCATGACCTAGTTCAGAGAAATAGTTACTCGTGTGTTTCTTTAGGTGTGAGAGAAACTGAAATGCTTTGACTGTCGCATTTGCGTAGTGCTGAGGGTCTGGTCACAGGATTTGAATTTTAAATGCTTTTGGGGAAAAAGGGGTTAACATCCCTTTGAAAAGGGATTGAATGTGACACAGCGCTTGTTTCGTAGGGTGAAAAATCCAATGGGAATCCCGCTTCTTCTGAAGGAATAGAAGACAAACTAGTAAATGGATATGCCACCCTGCAGGCAAAGGAGGTCTATGTTGCTGGGGTAAAGATTTTCTATGGGTCTCAGACTGGCACAGCAAAGGTATAAGTTACTTTTTTTCACTTACATGAAGTTGATTTGAAATACTGTTGAGATTCAAGTATGTTGCTTCCCTTAGAAACACTGCACTGTGTAAAAATCTGAAAGTTCATCAGAAAGTTCATTAGCTCATTAGAATTCATTGCCCAACATGAAAGATAGGTGAAAATTATGTAAAAATAACAGTTTTTCTACTCCCTTTAAGTGGGGCATGCAGTAGAGACATAGATTATGAAGCTTAAAGTTTACTCGTACAATATACTCTTAATTTGCTAGCAGGTCTTCTTAGAGAGAAGTTTTAGGTGCTTTCTCAGAAAGAAATTTAATTTGTGTGTGTAAATGTAAAATCAGTAGTCATTAAAATTCACGTCTCTTCTTTCAGCCAGTATACTTCATTTTTTTTTTTAATGTGAGGAATTGTAGGTCCAGTGTCCAGTTCTCATGTGTCATTGTTCTTTCTGTGCTGGGAGAAGTCTTGTGACTGGGCATAGCAGGGCTTGTTTGACCCGTACGATAGTTGGGTGTCCTGGTTTCAGCTGGGATAGAGTTAATTTCCTTCCTAGTAGCTGGTACAGTGCTGTGCATGGTACATGTGCCATGCTGGATTTAGGATGAGAACAATGTTGATAATGCACCGATGTTTTAGTTGTTGCTGAGCAGTGCTTACACTAGTCAGGGACTTTTCAGCTTCCCATGCTCTGCCGACTGAGCAGGCTGGAGGTGCACAAGAAGCTGGGAGGGGGCACAGCCAAACTGGCCAAAGGGACATTCCATACCATGGGACGTCATGCTCAGTACATAAACTGGGGAAAGCTGGCCGGGGGGGCCACTGCTCGGGGACTGGCTGGGCATCGGTTGGCGGGTGGTGAGCAATTGCATTGTGCATCACTTGCTTTGTATAGTCGTCGTCTTGTTGTTATTATTATTATTAGTATTTTATTTCAATTATTAAACTGTTTTTATCTCAACCCATGAGTTTTCTCACTTTTATTCTTCTGATTCTCTCCCCCATCCCACCGGGGGGGTGGAGTGAGCGAGTGGCTGTGTGGTGCTCAGTTGCCAACTGAGGTTAAACCACGACATTAGGTTGAAGTAATTGATAACTTTCTACATTTCTTTTTTTTTTTTTTTTTTCCCCCAGAGATTTGCCAAAGGTCTGGCTGAAGCAGTTATTTCCCTTAATTTGCCTGTGGAAGTCATTAGCATGGGAGACTATGATCCAGATGATTGTTTATCAGAGGAGGTAGGTACATCATAAATACGAATAATAAATACAAGTTTTTCCTGGGATTGCGAAGGCTGTTTTCCTCTTGTATTTTTCTCCTGTTATCCTGGAAATCCGCAAAGCTGTGTGTTGAAAATTGCTTCCCTTCTATGTAAGCAAGTATAGCCTATCAATCCTCAGCAGAAAAATACGTAAATTTTGAAAATTACTAGGAAAGGATCACGTAGAATATTTTGATGCTGGCAGTGACTTTGTATGAGCTAGTTCTGTAACTCGGGTGTGAGTTACGTGAGAGTGGCTGCACCAGGTCCCCCCGTGCCGCCTCTGACAGGGTACGCTTGGGGAAGGGTTCAAAACCAGAATAAGTAGATGGTGATACTTCTGCAGCCTTCACAGACTTAGAAACTTCTTGTGAGGCATGTTTATATTGAGTAATCCTTGATGGATTTTTCTTCTGTGAATATTGGTAGTTGCTTTTTTGAATCTGTGGGAGACTTTATTGCTGCAAGAGTCTGTTCAAGCAGCTGTTGATTGGGGTGGGGAAGGCAGATGTCCAGTTCTCTTTTACCACTGTGTCTCTGTTAAGTAGGGGAAAGACAGCTTGATCTCTCTTGGCTAATTTAAGATGGCTTTGCAGGGAAGATGGCCATTCACCACCATTGGGATTATCACCTGCAGCATCCCACACCTGACTATTAACCCACTTAGCAAAAATCTTGTCTTTTGACTTCTTCCAGCTGCTCATGTGTTACAGCTTTCTTCCTGATGTAAAGTGTTCTGAAAAATGCAGTGATCTCTTCTGTTCTGTTTATATTATTAGACAACCAGCAGGAACATTTGTGTGTTCTTGGTAGCTACGTACACAGATGGACAGCCAACCGAGAGTGCAGCGTGGTTCTGCAAGTGGTTAGAAGAGGCTGCGAATGACTTCCGCTTTGGGAAAACGTATCTGAACGGCCTGAGATACGCTGTGTTTGGCTTGGGAAATTCAGTTTATGTTGATCACTACAACACAGTAAGTATCTCCTGTGCACCTTTCTTTGATTTCTGCTCCTCCGAAAGGCTAAGCTTTCTTAAATGCTACAAAACTGAATGATACTGGTAGTTTGTGTGAGAATTGCAGCTGTCGTGCGGACTTGATTAGGGACTGGGTTTAGGGCATGGGCAATGCAGCTTTGAAGCAATTGTGCTGCCCTTTTAAATGGGAAAGGAGTCCCATAAGCACTGCGTTCATCTGGGAGGTATGGTAATACATTTGGTAAATCCTTACTGAGTTAATTTCCCAGCTTCGAAAGCTTTCTATCAGTGCGTGAGGGCACAGTACTGTACACCCTCTCACTTGCTGCCTTTTAGTTTAGAGCGCTTTTCTCAAACTTGCGTACTTTGCTGTATTGTGTGGATTTTGGCTTTATTTTCTGATGTAAAATATGACGGTATCTTAGCCTGGTAATTAGTTTCATCTCAGTCAGAAAAACGGCATGACTTGTCACCAGGTTATTATGTTTGTGTGTTATGCATGTGGCCATTTTTTGACCAGCAAGCGTAGCACAAAGAAGCTCGTTCCCAGAGCTCATCTCTTATCACATCAGTGTGATAGCAGAGGTATTTTCAAACGGGGGCCTGAGGATGTGTGGTGGTGTTCAGACTGACTTGTGTCTGTGCTCTGAGTCAGCAGGTGAGAGGGAGTCCAGAAGTCCCTGCCTTGCAGTCCTGTGCAGCTCACTAATTCTGTTTCCAGGCTTGGTCCTTGCTTTCTTAGTTGCCTGCTTTGTTTAACTTGGACTTCATTTAATTCCCCTCTAACTTTCCTCCTGTCCTAGGTTGGAAGAAATATTGACAGGTGGCTGTGGATGCTCAGTGCCAGCCGTATCATGACTCGTGCCGAGGGGGATTGCAACGTGGCCCAGAGCAAGCATGGCAGCATTGAGGCTGACTTTGAAGCCTGGAGAGCCAAGTTCCTCAGTCGGCTCCAGGCCCTCTGCAGAGGGGAAAAGAAGCCCTGCAGTGGGAAGTGCAAGAAAGGGAAGTGCAAATCTCCGGGGAAGCAGAGCAAGGAGAGCTCAGATCATGAACATGGGGCATCAGAATACGAGAATACTGAGGTAGAGCCAAAATCCATGTGGCCTTATTTCTGGTTTAGTGCCCCTTGGAGCACTATTTGACTTCTCTCCTTCCTCCTACAGTCCAGAGGGGTGCTGTGGGAGCTTGATACTTCTTTGTTGTGAAGCGGAGGGAAGAGGGATGAGATCCCATGGTGGATAACAGGTAGAATAAGTCTTCCAAAAAGAATCACCAAAGAATTAGTGGTGGACCTAGGCTAGATGGCATCTATATGATGAGGGAGTCTTCCCCTTGAACACGGGGGAGGTATATGTTGTGACAGAGGCTCCAGGGAGCCAGTCTGGGTTCTCATCGGAGTCTTTGCTTTGTCTCATGGCCAAGTGAAGCATTTAGTTCCCTGTAAGCAGTTAACTTGCTTCCACTTCAACTTGTTGAAGCTTAGGTGCTTTGCCTGAGTCCCAAAGTTTTTCCAAAGGCAGTTGAGGGAGTGTTACCTGAGCAAGTCCTGTATTTCCTCTGAAGGTGTCTGTCTGTAATCATCTGTGTGTCTTCTGGGGTGTTTGTTGATTGTAGGTTTTGAATAAGAAATCCTCTCTTGCTCTACAGTGCAAGACCCAGAGCTGCTGTGGCACTTTAATCCTCCCTGCAAGCCATTTACTGTGGGTTGGAAATGATTACTCTGGCTATGTTGAATTTTGTGGGAAAACGGGCTCTTCTGGCTGAGTGGGTTTGAGTGTGTTGGCCGCTGCAGAAGCAAGAGGAATAAATCTTGCTGTTACACCAATGCTGTTGTGCTGTACCTTGGCTGTGTACAGAAAGGGAGACAACTTTTCTGCTCGGTGAAGAGTTTGACTTGGAAAGCAGATCTCTCACTCCCTGGTCATTCGGGCAGAGGCACCTGGAGGAGTTAAAGGGGTTTAGGCTTCCAGTTCACTGTAGTACGCAGTGGGAGCTGGACTCCTCTGTATTGCTTCTCATGTGATCAGATAGGCACATGAGGAGAGCGGAGCAATCTGGAGGTAGGATATCTGGACTGAGTTTCAGGTGGCTTGTGTGCTACTGAACTCTTAAAAATACACACTGATAAAAGCCTCAAGTTTAAATGCATCTCATACATTATACAGGTTATTGGTAGACTATTCCTTCTTTTTCAGTAGTCTTTACTGATTGTGAGAGCTGATTTCGCTGGTTAGCACAGATGAAGGTCTTATGTTTAACATTCAGATACATTCCTAATTTATTTTTTTATTTGATCTCTTACCCAGGCAGAGGAGTTGTTTGAAACCAGTAGTGAGGAGGAGGCTGATGCCGAGGAAGCTGGAGGCACAAATTCTGTCATCGATGTTGAAGATCTTGGCGATATCATGAGCCACATGAAGAAAGCAAAGGTACTGCTGTTACAGTGAGTGTAGAACTGTCAGGTCTTTGTCACTTGCTCACAGGGAACTAAATGCTTCACTTGGCCATGAGACAAAGCAATCCTGCTGGATTGGAATCTGTAGGGTCTAGTTAGAGGGAGAGTAAAATATGAGCTACTGGAGAACCTGTCCCAAAAAAGAACATACTTGGAGGTGTGTTGGACATAGTTATCAGCTGTGACTTGTTCACTGAGCAAATGCTGCAATGGTGACCTGTTATTTTCAGTCTGAGAGAAATTATTCCACAGCCAACATCCAGATCTAAATGTACATTTCTGCCACTGTGATTCACAGTCCAGTGTCTAAACACAAATCCTGTTACTGTGTCTGCCCGTGGGTACGTCAGCTGAAATGCAGGCTTGTGCTGTGCTGGTAAGTTGTGATGGGGAGCAGAGCTGCTGGTGGAATGGTAACACGCTGCTGCAAGAGCTTCTGTGTCTTGCTTGCTGCTGCCCTAAGAAGAGGTGCCAGGCTTGCAGAGCAAGCTGATGAACTTGATCTGACCTGTGCTGAGCCTGTCAAAGACAACCGTGGTTCCTGCTTTGTTTCAGGGTGTTACTATCTCTGTTCCTGTGCGGTTCTGTTTATGTTTCTTTGTCTGTGTTCAAAGAGTCTGCAAACAAGATACACCAAACTCATTTATTTGGTTAGCACACAAAAAGGAGTGAGATTATAAACCGCTACCAGGCTAAGCCTTAGTGTGCTGGCTGCGCCGTTGGCAGTCGGGAGGGGAAGGGTTGGCCCCAGAATGGACCCGTAACGTACTGTGTTGCCATCTGCTGACTCTGTTTTTCCTCCTTAGTGATCTTTCCATGGTGCTGTCTTTCCTCGTGAACCCTTGAGCTGCTATCCATCCCCCTCTCAACAAACCTACCTCTGTCTGTAGTGACACCTTCCTTGTTTTGTTTACCTCTATGGTGTGGATTTCTCACAGCTCTCTCCCAAATCTTAACAATTTCCTCAGCAGTCTGAAATGAGGTGACACCGCTGGGCCACAGCAAGCGAGGCCTTGGATCGCAGGAGGCTGCATGCTTAGGAGGGAAGGGGGTTGCAAGGGGAGCATGGGGATCTGTGTTCTTTCCCCACCTTAGGGAGGGGAAAGGGGGCAAAACACTTCCTCCTGCTTGTAACAAACTCTGTTAGGAGAGCAGTCCCACTGACTCGGGGGCGAGGCAGACTGCTGCGTGAGAGCTCTTGTCCCTGAGCTTGTATGGACTTGTGTGCTGCAGTTTGCAGGAGAAGGATGAGTGAACTGTTTGGCTTTCATTTGTTGATGGGAGAAAGAATCAATCTTTCTCCCTGTGTAACTGTGGTGTTGAAGTAGTCCTCTCTCTTCTCTCCTGCATGTGCTCACCACTAGAGGTCACTGACAAAAAGGGAACTGCTTGTTCTGTAGCAGGATGCCCTTCGAGATGATTTAGACCAGGGAAGGGAGGTGGTGTCGTCCAGCTGTTTTATGAAGAATTAGGCATTGAGTTTTCACTGACTGACAAAATATGGCAACACCATGATCAAATATAGTGTAAACCAGGAAAACCACATATCATTGTCCAGTTTATGAATAAAAAATGAACACAGCAATAAAACACTTCTTGCTCTTACCTTCTCATGGCCATTGTTCCGGTAGCGAGCACGGCTGAAGTCATTGTGGTATGGTTTTATACCTAGGCAGTGAAAATTCATTGCTGTCTGCCATTTTGCCTGATGCATGATTCAAACAATTGACTACTTTCTCCTTAGCTTTCTTGTTGCTCTGCTTGAGTGGTGGGAGGCCTGTATGTTGTGTGTACAAATCACTCACTGCAAAAGTGCAAATATCTCTGTAGATCAGGTTCTCGTGGCTCTGACTGAAGTAGCCCCCCTGATCTGAGGGACAGCTGTCTGAGCACAGACGCTCACCTGCAAGCTGCAGTTTCTGATCTGCTGCCTTTTCCTTGGAGGAGATGGCAAACATTTGTTCTGCCCTGGCAGTTGAATGCTGCCTTCTTGCCTCTGCAAATGGTTAAATCCTGAGAGCGCAAGTCTCTGTGTGAGACGATGACGAGGACTGGAAATACCGCTGTGCGTGTAAGTGTCCTAGCCCTTTTGGATATAAGCTGTTGTCAGCTGACGAGGCAGGAGGCCTTAAAACTGTGGATTGGCCTTTTTGTGGCTGATGCCGCTGAACTGCCCTGCCCTAGTCATGTCCCAGCTTTTTTGGCTCAATTTTGAAACCTTAAACGATGTAGTTCTCATTACTGGCCCCTTTATTCCTGTTCTGCACGGTTGATCTGCCTAGCTGCAATCTACATTTCTGGTTTCATGCTTCTGTAACCAGAGCAGGTAATGGAGAAAGGGCCCTCAGCAGTGACTTCGATGTAAATCCTCAACTCTCTTGAATGGGTTTCCAGAGTGATGGCAGGATATAGCTGTGTAAATATTTCATGAGGGAGCCTGAACTGATGGCTATCTATATCATTAGCTGGGAGAAAGAATGACTTTGTCTTGGTGGTGAATCTCCTGGGGAATGTGTGCGTTGACTTGCAACAGGTTTATGCAAACACTTGAATTGTAAAATGATCCCATAGGTGCAGTTATTTACTATAACGAAAATAAATGCTGAAGGCTTGATATGAAGGAGCAGGATGATCTGCATATATGAAAGTAATTTATCCTGATCAGGCTCTCTTGCTCCCAGGCGGGAAGATATATTTGTTTAAATCTAGTGCATCTCTGTTTAAATCGCATCCTCTCACTTTAGTGGCTATGAGTTTGTGTGATGAGTTTTCTTTTTCAGATGAGTTGCGTTGTCCCTTTAGCCTTTTTTTTTTTTCTCTAGCAGAATGCTGAACTGTGTAAAATTAGTCTGACACTTGTTTTGCACTGGTGTAATCTGTTGTCTTGCAGTAGTCCCTACCAACACAGGCAAGTGCTTTGGGTTTTTGTATCTGAACTATCCTTATAGAAGCTAGCAAGTTTAAAGAAAACTTGTGTATTTCAGGTTTATATCACAGACACTTCTTCATACACAGAGTTACTTGGATTTGAAATGTGCCTAACAGTTTCCAGCATGGGTTTTGTGGATGTCGGTGTTGCATTTTAACTCCTCTGCATATGGGAGATAGAATAGCAGGTTCTGCCTTGTGCAGTATAGTTAATTTGAAATGTTTTAGGGTCCAGCTTTGATCTCTTTTGCAGGCATGTATTGCCTTTTGTGAGAATCACTAGCAGATAAGACAGATGTGCAGTCACAGAGAATCATAATTCCTTGTTGTCCTGCCTTTTATGGGATGGCAGAGTGAGGCTGTGGAGGCAAGCGTATCTAATAAATGTTTGCTCACATCTCTGCAGGTGATCTTAATTTAATTTTGCACCATCTCCTGTTGCTTGACTTGATGGAAATCAGGGCTGAGTTTTGTTTTACAGCTTTTTTTTTTCCCATATGCTGCAGCTTCATTGCACTTTACAAAGTATTGTCAAAGGGCTTGAAACAGGTACTGGATTCTTGCAGTCATTTGGATCAGGCAGATGGATTCGGGAGTTCAAGGTGAATGCCAGAACCTCTCTTCCTGGTAGAGTTGTAGCATTACATACTCTCCCTTGGAAAAGAGATGGATTTTTAAAGAGCTTCTGAGGGTAAAGGTACACAGTTCAAGGTGATGGTGCCTTCTGCACACTGAATCTGAGCACAAAAATTGGCACAAGGTTGGGTGGCAACAGGAAATCATTCAAATATATAAAATGATGGCTGATACAAAGGTAAATTCCACACCTTGTTTAACAAATCTCATGCTATGTGGTGATAACTACTTCATAGCTGCTAAAATCCATCCCTTTTTTTCCTGAGTAATTAAGTTTTTGGAACTTGCTGCAGGTGATATAGTTGCAGGTGATGCTTATTAGGGTCCTGAACTGGCATCAAACCTTTAATGTCAGTAAAGATAATGCCTGTGCTTTCATGAAGGGAATTGCTAGGCATGAAAGTCCAACAGTGCGTAATACAACCACGGCCTGAAGGAGAGCTGGGGAGCTCTGAGGCTGTCAGCTCTGAGGCTGCTTCTCTTAGGTGCCTGGTGATCCAAGGCTGTGGTGCCGGGCTGGGCTGGGTGATGCACAGCTAGGTTGGTTAAGGTCTGGATTTTCTCTGCCCTTCCAGCTGCTTGTTTTCAGGCTGAGAACCTGGGCCTGTTCTCCAAATTGCTTTTATGCAGCAGCAGAAGGCAGTGGTGGTTCTTAGTGGATTTAATAACTAAGTGGACTTTTAAATTTTACAATTGTGGCACGCTTTCCCTGTCCTCCAAAGTTACTCCCCTGAAATGTATTTATCAGATAAAATGTGAAATCTAATGGGTATGTTTGTGGCCTGCAAGGCTGCTATTAATCATAGGGACACCATTTCTTAATGTAGATTATCTCCCACAGCTGGGAGATCGTGATAAACTAGAAAGACAGATCAATCTAGACTTGTTCCCAGGGAATGGAATGGCTTTATTAACCTTCATATTTATAAACTGCAGGCATGAGTAATAGTAATAATAATATCCTAATTTTTTTTGATGGGTTGGGAAGTAATCAGATGGGCATATTTTGTTGACACAATTTTGAGATTAATGTTCTTGTTTTCTAAAACAAAGTTTAATGGTGCTGATAGTCACACTTGCAATGTAAATGCAGAGGAGGGGTGTGTGTGAGAGAGCAAGACCGAGACTGAGTTTACAGGAAACAGAATATGTCCCAGAGAGCATGTTCAAGAAGTTTCTGTTTAATTCTACATCCATTTGCCACAGGGGAGGTTTCCTGGTCCCCTTTGGCACTCTTCCCTAAAAAGTCATCCTACATTAGCCATTTGCCACCACTGGGATTGTAAATCACACCACTCGCAATGTTTTCTAAGAGCCCTTTGCAAGCGTATGGCTGCTATGGGAGACCAAACCTTGCTGACCCTGGGTGAAGAAACTTTTAATGAAGCTGGCTGGAGTTTGGTTTGAAGT